TAAACAAAACAAAACGATGTAGCTCTCAAGGCAATAACGAGAAAAAGTACTTTATTTGTTGCTCAATAAGGTTGATTTTACACTAAATGTTATTTAAGTTATGTCTTTTCATTTGAAAGTGATAGGAGTAATTTATTCCTTTGCTCGTTTTTTGCAAGGAATGATCGTAAGTATTAGATAATATTTTGAAGATTTGTGACTTTATTACTGTGTACCATAGTTGTAATTAGGTTGAACTTAAAACTATTTTAAAACTTTTCCATCCGTTTGTTGGTAAACAAATGTAGCTGCATAAGTATATATTCACACGGACAGCATTTAGCTTTGACTTTGTACGTGACCCTTTATCTAGTTGCTATTGTTGATCGAAGGCTAGTACGAATTACGAACTACGAATGGAACATCATATTTTGGATATTAAGATGGCTGGCAGGAGCTGTATACGAGAAGCCCAAAATCGATTTAGTGGCGTGCAATGGGAGAGGCCTATGTCCAGCAGTGGACTGCGATAGGCTGATGATGATGATGATTTTTGAATTTGCAGTTTGCTTTTTCGATAATTCGCTACAAGCTTGTGTATAAAACCGTTATTTCTCGAAAGTTTCCAACGAATTTTACTTCAGCAACTCTCATCATCATTTTCTTCGTTTATTTTACACTAGAACCTTCTACTTTTTGTTTGCGTTCGATTTTTTTCAAACACTTGCCACGAACCGATTTTTTCCAAAAGTTTTTTTTTGAACTATTACTTGTATCTACCCGAATTATCCCGTTAAAAACCAGCCAGTTTTTTTTTCGATCTGAACATTCTCAGCTTGTACTATTTGTCTAATTTCTACAGCTTGTCATTGAAGACTTAACATACTCCGCAAAATCTTTAAATAGTACAAAATGAAGTTCCAGCTTCCAGATCCTGTACGTTTAGATCTTCCCTGCAGGTATAATTAGAAGTTGCTTCCTTTCGTTGACCCATGTAAAGATGATTTTACTTCTATGATATATTTTACTCTATTTTTCTGAACAAAGAACGCCTCAAATACACATAGGCTATATGAATAGGTACTCACTAATTTGATAATCTAGATACGAAGTTATTTATAATAATAATACCACTTATTATCAGGGATTGGAAATGAAAAAATCAAAGAAGCCTTTTAAATATATTTATATTACTCATACCAACTGGTCTCGAGTTTATGTTGCCATATTGCTTTAATCATAATTTCATAATATAGGTGTATTATATGTACGTACACAGCAATAACATTCATAAAGCACTACTGTTGAAAAAACACCAATCTACATTTTCATTTAAAATTCAATCGCAACTACACTTAATCGTAACTTGATCGATATATTTATGTATGTAACATCTACACCAGGAATTCCCAAATTATCTTGGGCAAAAGACCCCTTTTCTAAAATGAACTGATACCTCAGACGCCACTGATACCATAGCCAAATTACTGCACGCTTGTCAACTTGTTGAGTTTCTTAAAAGTACAACACTGATACTTCCGACTAAAATATTAGTCATTCTTATAACAAGTTGGTATACTTGAATGTTTTAAATAAGAACTTGTGTTAATTAATAGGGGTCTATTTTCAGACCTCGTCGACCCCCAAAATCAGTTTTTGTTTATGTCGACCTCTAAGAAACAGATTTTGACCCCAAGGGGGACCACTTTTTGGAAACCCTGATCTTTACTTAGTAATGATTGAAAGAATATAAAAGAAAAACAATCAGGTACCTACTTAGAAAAAAGTTAAGAACTAAATACTACGAATAAATATAACACAGCTTATTATAATGTAAACACGTTAACAAAATAATTTGGAACTTTGACACCATCAAATTCGGTCCTATAACAAGTTGACAGTTATACCTTACAATGTATTTAGGTAGCTACAATATAAATCTCAATTATAAAAATGCATAACACAGCCTTAAAATAAAAATAAAAACTAAATCACGACGCGATTAGAGTAAGAAAAAGTCTTGTAAAACATATTCCTGTAAAAACCGGAAAACCTTTTCTCCCTGTTGCGCCTAATATAACATATAAATTTTGAGATTATTTTTTATTGTAAAGGATACAAACAACAGAACTGTTGAAACTTGATATTAGACATGTCATGTCACGTTCAATAAGAGATACTCTAATTATAACACTTTTATAACATATATATATATAACACATTACATTTTTTTTAAACAGATAACAACACGTACGATCAGAGCATAAACATAGATATAATATAATTTTGCTACATGTTTCGTATGTATACTTAACAATTATGAGATAGAAATATAATCTTGATCGTTGTGTTACCAAAATTTATATGCTCTACTTTAATAAGTAGAGCATATAAATTTAAAATATAGAGCATAAAAAAGACAGTACTAATGTACTGTCTTTAGTAGTGCAGGATCGCTAAAAAATCAGAAAGGGGCGTATTATGTACTTTTCTATCTTTTTATAGATAGATGAGATTGCAATTTTAACGGGGAGAGTTAACACCCATATATAATATTGTTACTTAGTTCCTAAAATACATCATCGTCGTAATTGATTGCAGCTTAGTATGATTATAAATTAGGTATACTTAACAGTGTATAAACAAGTATTCTGGTAATATAATACATTATTTTGTCTTACACCAAATTAATGTGTCAATGTGAAAAGTACGAATAAACTAACACTTTCGCATATTAAGAGGGCCGCGAATAACATCAACGCGATAAAACTGGTGTTTATTATGTTGACAGAATCCATATCGCAAAATTATCTAACGGGTCTACCAGTAGGGATGACCTGGTTTTGACAGCTCATAGTGGCCATGTTTGATGATGGATCTTTGACGTCTCTTGACATTTGTGTTCAGTAAGGTTTGCCATTTAATCATGTCACGTTTGACTTTAAACCAACGTTTGGAAATTGTCCAAAACTTCTTTGAAAGTGACGAAGGAAAGCCCGTTACTGTGAATGGCGAGCGCTATAACTCGATATTAACCGAATATTTCTTTCCGGAATTTGATGATATTGATGCAGACGACCTTTATTTTCAACAAGACGGTGCACCACCTCACATTACTCGAGTGAACATGGAATTATTGCGTTTAAAGTTTGGTGAGTCGTTAATTTCGAGAAATGGACCGATCAGTTGGCCACTAAGATCGTGTGATTTAACACCTTTAGACTATTTTCTTTGGGGTTACGTTAAATCTAAAGTGTACAGCAATAATCCAGCTACAATTCGTGACCTAAAAACCAACATTCGACGAGCCATAGCCGACATACTGGACGAAATGGTGCACCGCGTCATCGAAAATTGGCGTGAGCGGGTGACCGTCTGCAAAAAGAGCCGCGGCGGTCATTTGGCCGATATATTATTTGAAACATAAATTGCATAAAATTATCTATCAAATAAATCAATCGGATGCACTTTTCATAAAAAATTGTGTGTTTTATTCAATTTTTAAACCAGGACGTTCTTATTGGTAGACCCCATACATGTACGTAATTAACAAATGTAAATGTAATGTGTTAACCAAATTTTATTTTAAAATATATTATTACAGATTCAGAGATTAATTACAAGCAATATTTCTATACATATATTGCCTCCGGAATAATATGAGTTCGTAACATGTAAATAGACGTTAACGCTACGAAGACACATCAACATCAAAGTTGTTTAAATAACTGGACGATGGTGTGTACTAGTATAGCTGCCTAACACTATAACTAATAACATAATGTACAAGATATGTACTTACGTCTAAGCTTAGCCAGTAAAACAATTTTAAAATGCCATTGCATAATGCCGCTATATCATTTGTCTAAACAAATATAGAATATACACACAAAATAAGAATTAATGGGGAGTGGTTTCAGAAAACTTCGAAATAACAGGAATAACACTAGGTGGCGCTTTATTTCCTAATTAATCCGATGAATGTAATACATATATGTAAAGGAATTGAGTTGCGATCTGTAGTACAAGTATCTAGACAGGTCAATATAATATTAGATGTTAGTTATAGCAGAACCATTTCTGAAATATGTGTTACAACCTAATGTAATGCTAATCCGGTGTAAAAACAATAACTTGATTTACAGAAGTCGTGTCGGTGATTATTCATGAATCATTTGGTAGCCCCTTGTACCTTAATAGTACTATAAAACTGATAATATTAAAAGTACATTGATACATACTAAATATACGTCAGAATATTTTTATCTACTACAAAAGGAATATAAAAAATATAAAAAAAATCTGTGGTAAACGAAGAAATTCGTTCTGAACAGATACACATTTATGATGTAAATACTTTCCAATGAAATGCAATCTAATCCAGACACGTAGAAGTACCTAACTAAAAAAATTCTTTAAAAATATCAAAAAAATTAATTGCACTGAAATATATCAATACCTAGAAATAATAAGTGTAGGTACAGCATTAGAGCTCCTAAAAAGTACTTTTTTTATAATATTACATAACAAAACATTAAGTAGTAGTAAATTATATTTTATTGTTTCAGTAGTTATCGTAGGTACTAATTTAAATAATAGTAAAAGCGATTATATCGCACACAAAAAGTCGATGTAAACATACTGTAAATTAAATTCGTTCATAACGTATGGTATTATAGACAATGATACTACTATATACTAGGTTACCTCCATAGTATTCGACACCTATAATCTAGTCGAGCAATTCTTTGTACTACTGAAGCGAAACGAGCGAAAGATAAAGTCAATGGGATAAATTGTAAGTCGTCGCCGTTTGACGCCGACTTACAAAGTATTCAACTAGGCTATTTTCAAGTCTTATCTTAAGCCTCCGAGTCACACGTTTTGTCTTTTGTTTTACTAATATCATTGTTTATGGATAACAATACTTACACTTCAATTAAAATTTGTTTAGATTGCATTATAGACATTTGAAGAAGGTAACATATCAATTATTATTAGTAATGTGGCAATACTCAAGTTTACGAAGGACGCGGACGAGCTGGCAGTGGTGGCGGTGCTCCTTGTCTAGCAGGCACTGGAGGCGGCATTCCCGCGGGGAGTGGAGTGATACTCTCCGGTGGAGGTGGTGGCGCACACGTCGGAGGCGGCACGCTGTCACTTGGAGGTGAAGCTATTGGCGGCTGATCCGTTGTTTTACCAGAATCTGGCGGTAAGGGCGCTGGACGCGGTGGAGGAGGACGTGCCGGACTTATCGAAACTGGCGGAACTCTAGATGGTACCAATGGAGTAGGTGATGGTGCAGGTGGCCTACTAGGCTGCTGACGGCGAGGAGTTGGAGGAGCTGATCTTAAGGGTCGTTCAGGTTGAGAGTCACCAGATAACGGAACAGTATTGTTAGAGCATAAATTTATTTCAGATCGAACAATTTCAATCCAATCGGGCGTTTTTAATGAAACTTGTAAAGGAATAGAACAAGCCGATATTTGGCCCTTCTGGGCAGCAGCTAAAGCATTTTGTCCTTCTCTAAATGTAATACTTAGTGTATGATCGTCAATAAAACGAACTAAAGTTACTTCACCAATGGTAGATAGCTCTTGTAAAACTGCTGCCATCACATTATCATCAAAAACGGTGTCCTCGCCAGAAAAATCTTCATAAGGTTGTACAATAATACTGGCGTCTGGAGGTCCAAGGTCTTTCACGACTTCATAGAATACTTCCATACATTTGGTGTAGCTCACCTGCGATACTTCTATTTCTAATATCGCGATAACAGGGCGATGATCACTTTGTTTCAATTCAGCTCGACCATAATGCAGTAATTTACCGGCTTGTAATTCCGTAGTTGTTTCTGGATCGATTGTATACTTCCTGCTTCGCCACAACACACGGTCAGTCCAAGCAGGAGCTCGACATTTTTCACTTGTGTCGTAATCGTCACTAAATAAATCATATTTGTAAGTAGGTGGGAATGTAATATCTCCTTCAAAGCAATGTTTAAAAACAGAGTTTTGTTCTTTTTGTTGTAGTAATTGATCGTGATCTAAAACGCGTTGTAAATTATTTTGTGATACCAAATGACGTATTTCATCTTTATCTAAATCAACTCTATAGTTAAAATCGCCACACCAAAATACATAATCATGAGAATATAGAGACCGACCCATTGGAAATGCAATTTTCCTAGTTATCTCTGTATAATCGGCATTACGTTCGGTAACCTGAGACTGGCCCGCGGCAAAATGAGCACACACAAAACACAGGGATGTACCATATATTACCATGCGTATGCCCACAGCTCCCTTATTGCCAGTGGCACCTCCAAGACCAGTTTTCACAGAATCAAGAGCAACATCTCTAATATGTGGTATTAAATCTTTTCTAGCAAATACAAAAAGACAAACTCCTACCAGTTGGTGACTAGACAGTAGAGTATATGGAGCATCTCTGCATAATACTTTTTCTAATTCTTCACTCCAAGCCTTTGCATTGTCAGAACTAGCTGCCATTATGTTGCTAGCATTTAAATCAACAATTTCCTCAAATCCAATGGCAAAAATGTCAGATGGATGTTCTTTTAAATTAACTGTATTGACCAGAGCAGAATTAGGACAATCAAGTAACCAATCTGCCAAAGATACATCCTTATAAGCCAGGCTTCTGAAGTGTTTACCTCCATTCACATTGTATGTTCCAATGGTAATGCGAATAGTTGTTGGTTGTGTAAATTCATTTCCTCTGCGACACATTTCTCTAAGCACCGGTGTAGATGTATGTAATAAATTTGATGGCAATAATATTCTGGAACGATCAGCCAGCTCAGAGTTCAAGGTGGAACCCAAAAGTAATATATCAATTGCCTCTTGTTTAGAATTGTCTAGCAAGTTGTTTTGAATAGTACGTGCAGCTGATCTTGCACCATCAATTAGTTTAGAACCACCCTGTATAGCACCAGTGCCTGCATAAATTTTAGATATTTCATTGCCATTATTTACCCACATCTGCTTGAATACTTCTTCAAATCTATTAACATTTTGTTTTTTGTCAATGCATTGGAGTAACATAAGCTGAATAGCCAACATTTCTAATCCTATAAACATTTGTATGGAATTAGTCCTGTCTAAACAATCTAGACAATTAGTGCGTATGACACCTTTCTGAATATTATAGATATCTGAACTTTTTGCACTAAATATACTTATTTCATCATAATGGTTTTCAATTATTCTTTTGAATTTTGCTAATGTAGTTTCAATGGAAGATGCTTTAACTTCTTGGTGATAGTCAAAAATAATTTGAATCACGTCATTATGGGCAGACTCATTTAAATGCTTCTGGAATGCATTACTCAAATTAGCCTCACCCTCACTACCACCTATTAAGCCCGATCCCAACAAATTTACAACAATCAAGGAGCCATAATTTCTTTTCAATTGTGAGAAATGTCTATCGCATGCACTGGTAGAGGCATCATACCCTCGTGACATCTTCACCTTATGAGAGCCAACTTGTATTCCAGGTTGTTCCCAAAACAAGGGCACTGAGCCTCTTGTTTGTACATATGATGCTACAGCATCATCCACATAAATAGCTTGTTCAGTTTCTACAAAATTGGCTACATTTCCATCATCATTGCAACCTCTGACATTAAACCTGGTGCCAGCTCTTTCACAGCTGAGTCTGGATACTAGAATCGCTCTTGCTTGACGATGGCCAACATAAATAGTTCGTATTTCAACTGAACCACACATGGCTCTGGTTAACCACTCATCACAATCTATGCCATACCTAATTAAGTGTATAAAAAGGGTTCTATTCCAGAAGAATCTGTTATCTGGACTAGCACCTTTACTTTTCCTCTGAGCACATAAAGTGAGATCAAAAAGATTTGCAGATTTGCCAGAATTCCATGAAAAGTAGAAGGTCCCTGAATTGATTAATTTTCTCACTTCAGAAACTTTATCTTCTCCTTGTGATTGATAAAATAGGGGTAAAAATTGTGTTTGAGTAATTTTAAACACTTCAGCGTCACCAATTTTACCCACTGAGCAACAGCCCGTGACGAGGACCAGGTACAGCAAACATGTTTCACCAGAATTAAGCTGAAGGACACCAAGACATCCATATGCGTCAGCTATTTTATGATATTGTTTGCGTAGTGTCTCTGTTTCTTGTGGAGACAGTGATACTACTGCTTGGGACTCGAAGAGTAGTGCCGAATCTTTATTTCTGTGTTGTAATATTATACTGTATGGATTCGGAGGTGCTGATTTCTCGAGGACTTTAAATCCTTTTGACATAGCCATGATTAATGAGACTATTTAGTCACTTACATATGAACAACAGCCATCCGCCCCCACTATACAGATGCAAGTTAACACAACAATCGACCACAAGAAAAATCTAATCAGAGTAATCAGAATAGGAATAGGAGCATGAAATGTCAAAACCGTTTGACAAGCGGTACAATATTGACAGGTGCGAAACCATAGAGAAAATACAGATAGAGGAGAGAAGGTATTGGCTATTCCACTTACAGACAAGTAATTGGAATAGCGACGTCGTCGGTGGAAAGAGAAAGAAAATGGCTACCACTTAGGGCCTACAGATCAGCGAAGAGGTGCAAGAGAGACTCATGTAAATTTCCGTCTTCTTTCCCTTTTTTCCAACGAGAACGTCCACGGATCAAGGCTTGCTTCTTTCCTGTATCTATTTTTCACCTCTATGGCAGTCACTCGATTAATTCTGTGGTTCAGAAATCAGTAAAATTTTATTCCTAAAATACTCGGAAGTCGGCTTGCAAATTATTGCACTATTTTTTGCAATAATACTAGCGAAATATATCAGATGCAAATGATGATAGAAGTAGTAAATTGATTTACGCAGTTTTTGCATTTTTTTGTAAGTAGATTTTTAGATGAGTTCTCCAACTCTAGTTCTGACTGGATTTATCATAACGGGTAACTATATTTTTTTTTACCAACATGCCTTCGTAAGAAGTCTTCCTATGGAGGAATATTTTTATATAGATGGCGACGATTTTTTTTTTGTTTAGTAGAACGTAAATTTCAGTGTTGAAATGATTTTGAAGCGCCCTTATAAATTTTTTTCATCATTCCCAAAATAGTGTATCTTCTCTTTTCATTTATTTTGTTTCTGACTAAAAAGTGTTAATATCAATAACAAAAAAAAAAACTTGATTTTTTTTCAACTTAGAAAACCTAAATCTTAACTACTACTTTCGTGGAGAGAACATTTTACTAATGAATTTATAATAAAAAAAAACTACTAGCGTACATTATAACATAATGGTGGCCACAACCTTTTTTTTAAAGATTGGATCTGCGACTGCTGTGCTGAGGTGTCGGGTTCAATTCCCGGGTCGGACCAAATGTTTGGATGATCTGCAAATATTTGTTTCAGAGTTTGAGTGTTTTCTTTGTAATACCTATGTATGTATTAAAAAAATAAAGTATGTAAGTATTCTATCAGTCAATCTAGTTTTCATAGTACAAGCTTTGCTTAGTTTGAATCTAGATGACGTTGTTTGTCAGATGTCCGAAACATTATATAAAATGTAATATTTGCTAAAATTTTGTGAGCCATAATTAGGCGCATAATTTTGAGCCGGCTCGACCGTAGTGATACCTCGGCCACACAGGAAGTTGAAACAATTCTTTCGTTGGTTTTCGCCAAATGATTGAGGTTATTGGAGGCCCAACCCGCTTCTTATTCTAGAGGGGGGCAACGCAAATTGCAGGTGTTCATGGGTGGCGGTATTTACTTACCATCCGATGACTTGCCTGTTTGCTTGACCATAAAAAAACCTCTCACGTAAGTTACTAGTGTGAGAAACAGTTAGTTTAATTTTAATAATAATAACTGTATTTCCATAACACAGGTATAATCACAACAATTAGTGTTGGAGACTCCTTTTAAGCATGTAAGATGATTGTGCCAGGAGTCTCCGGTCCTCCGTACGTTAATGCTAAAGTATACCTATGAATGAATTTCTTGTATCTAATTAATGATTTGTAAACATAGAACATGCAATGTACAACAAAATCCACGCAATTAGCTAGGAGACATGAGTATTACTGTAAATCTGTTACAAACACACAAAATAGTACACACATACCCATACATTAGGTTGTAAGGTGAAATTCAACTTACGATCTTTATAACAAAACTAAAACTAAGTCTTATGCGTTTTGTGTATATAATAGTTGGTATAATAGTACAGTAGTTTGTGTTTATTTAAAAACGCACACAGTGCAAACTTAAACTCAAAATTTCCTTATTTCAGTTTTTTTAAATTTTTTAAAATCCTCTCTTGTGTCGACTCTAAAGTCATAGATCAAAATACACAAAAGCAGCAAACTCTAGTATGTCAAATATTAAGCAAACCAGTCGATATAATCGATATATACGTATCGAAAATCTCTTATTAATTCTTAAGGAGTTGAGTCTCATGAGAAGAAAGGGCAAAAAAACTCACAGCCAATCCTTTTTAATTAACAGATACATACAATAGCATCATTTAATATACACATTGTTTTCAAGTGTGCCAGTATGTAAGTTTTAAGGACTAAAAGGCAATGAAGAGAAAACAAGATTTTAAAAAAAGATGGAGTAAAAACAAGTTTTTTTCTGTTTCTGGAATTTAAAGCATGTACATCACTTCTTTGAAGTTCATGTTCATGTTCTTATTGTACATGCTTAAGTACTTTTCTGAATTATCCATGCTTATTGCGGAAAGTGTATATAGTGAGAATTTAATATACTGGTTAACGATATAATTTTTTTAAATTAAAAGTCGAGAGCTCGATCGATCTTTGGTATCGTTTTAATTAATAATACCAAATATTACACTTTATTCAAGCTAATACTTTAAAAAATTTACAGGCTAAAATTAACGTATTTTGTATATGCAGCAATTGAGTCTGACTTCACTTTTAATCGGCCAGTGTTCCGTTGGACGTAGTCTTGGTATATTTCTCTAGAGGCCTTAGACACAGTTGGTGGTATGACATCTACAGAGCTGTCTATTGTAAACGCGCTGTTTACTGTCATCACCACGTGAATATCAGACTTATAGCGTGGGTTGGAGCGCCTTTCAAAGTTCACGTACCGTTTGTACCTGGATGTAAAATTTAAATCAGTAATGTTAAGATTTTTAGAGAATTAAATAAGTGAATCGTGTAAAGAGTTATCTATAGCATCAAAATTAGCTACAAACTACTAGTACCTACTTACTGTATACGATTTTAGCAAGAAAACCATTTGATTAGTTTCATGTGCGAAGTTTTTTGTTTATTCAGGATAGGAGTATAGGAGTCATCATATTTGGTACCTATTTAGTATCATATCTTGGTATATGTATGTACGTTTATGTGTACGTACGTACGACTGTTTGTATAGATTGGACAGGTATACTTATATTTATATCAATAAGAATGATAAGGAGTCTATAAATCGTAATAGATGACTTCTTAGAAGATTCGCAGCTACTATGTGGGCTGATAAAATATAATGTCAGATATACCAAAAAAATTATACTCACATGACCATATCCCGTTTACTGGGTTCATTAAGAGATATTCTATTCATGCGCTTTATAGCGGGGAATAGAGGTGTTTCGTCAATCTCATTAGCCTTTAAAATCTTAGCCACTACTGTTAATGGCGATGGTACGGAGAGCCGCAGCGCTGGAGTGGAGTTGGTTAAATCATCATCAGACGACGAATCGCCATTAGAACTGCAAACAATGTATTTATTAATATTTGATGTTAAAGGATGTTATATTTTCTGCCATTAGTATCTAATCCCAAATATATAAATATATACTTTACGATAATATCAACAATAATTTGTTTTGCAAGCTTAATCAACTACTTGTTAGCAACACCCTGTACTGTGGACTGTAAAGTGCATTCATACTCGCTGGAATTATTCGAGGTAGTGCTGGAGCGGCCGCTGATGACAGGGTTCTTGGAAGTAGGCCGCTTTGTCTGGTCACTGGAACGCCCACGAACTACAAAGGGACTAAAATTTTCTGAAAATGTTGGAGCTAAATCTCTAAGCGTGTGGAACATCTGTAAAGATAAAAGATTGCATCTTATCAACAAATTGGTAAAAGTATTTATATACATATTATATACATGTGACGTTAGTTTGTTTACAACCCTATTCAAAGATTATTTTGATCTATTTTTCGCGTCAGCTTTGTTTCTCGTTTCTCATTAATGCAACCACAATGTGCAGCCCCGCATCTACGTTTTTTTCGAACCACGGCAAAAACTTGATAGTGGCGCCCCTCTCCAGCGTTTGAGATAATTTACTCAAAAAACGTCACAAATATATAAGTTAAATTGTAGTGTGGGCCTGTGTGGCGCCTTTTTTTACAACTCGACGGTAAGCATACTAGGCTTCCCTATGCTAGGCGCTTTATGGACCAAGTTTTTTTTATTTTTAATTATACTATATTTTGGCGCCCCCTGGTGCCCCGGTTTGCGCTCCCTAGATCCGGGGCTGACAATTTATGCCACAGCGAAACGTGGCGGGGTACAGATAGTATTAATGGATGAACAAATATATAATGTTAGGTACAAGGCCACGATTTATTAATTTATCCCAAGTTGAGTTTCTTTATAACACAAGATAACATTCAGATTAGGGACCATAGAAATCGTAATAATAAGTCACTAGAAGTCGCATAGACGCTTGACCTTATCGCCGCAATGATGTGTAGAGGAACACCACTTACAGAAATTCACACCATTCGTGATTTAGTTGCGCGAAGCTTCGTAGGTACGTGAATTTATATTGTTAAAATGATGAACTGCAGTATTATGGGTTGTGAAAACGCATCAGCGACGTATGATTCAACTAATAAAGGCATAACATTTCATCGGTAAGTTTTTTTTTTTACAAATAAATCATTGTTTTTACTAATTTACATCTCGATTAATCCTTTAATAAGATATCTGCCTTTTTTTTCCATTCGGAAATCCCCTCGGATACCACCTATCGGTAGCATGTCGGACTCGAACCGACTAAAACCGCACGCCGTCTCGGGTATTAATAGCCGGGGAACCAGGTATACCCTAGAAAGGAAGTCCCTGGTGCGACCAATAAGATATCTGCCTTCGTAAACCTTCATTTATTACTTTACGTTTTGAACAATTAACATTGCTGCTTTGGTTTTTATTGCACGCGATGTTGACAAACTAGCCCAGCAATGTACTATGAAGCATTAGATATCGTTGTTCGTTGCGTATGTTTATAATACGGCTGCAGGCATGGGCCGCCAGTTAGTGTTGTAACCGTTCCATTCATTTGAATGAAAGTACTGTTTATATCGATGTTAGTATAAAAGGATCTTTTTGAAATTTTCGACGATATATAATGTAAAATATTCTTAATATAAATTATACAATATTTTTTTTTAGGAATTTAATTATTTGCGTATTACGAGTATAATCTATAAATGTCAGCATGCTGATTATTATTAATAAAATGTTATCTTTTTAAGAAAAATAAATAGATTTCTCTAGGAAGTCTAGGAATTTTAAAACTTAAGAAAACATTTTAAATAAATTTGTTCATTTTACGGGTCAATAAACTCATTCTGTTGAGTTGCTGATAACATCAACTACTAGAGATACTTACTACTTATATAGTTAACTATATTTTCACCGTGTTAGTAAAGGGTATTACACAGTTAAAGACTATGTAAATTTAAAAAAAAAGGAAACGGCACTGTTTATTACTTTCTTCTTAATTACTTATTTCATTACGTTACGTGAAGGGACTATTTGTTCAGTAATCGCTTATTATTTAAATTTATTGTACCTGTGTGTTTTAGTCTTTTTTAATAATTGTTTATTCGTCAGAATATTTTTAATTATAATAATAATAATAACGCCATCTAGTTTCAAACTAAGCACAGCTTAAACTATGAAAACTAGATTGACTGATAGAATACTTATAGACTTTTTTGTAAATACATTATGTACATCTTATATATAGAAAACACCCAAACTCCGAAACAAATATTATTATTATAATAGGTAATATTCATCTGTAAGTATCATAACTGTTAAAATATTAAATATATGCATATAATAATATATGGTTTTCATTGCTACTTGTAATCCATTTTATTTTAATGTTATATACAAAAATATCGACTAATTCGAAAAATTTTGACAATCCCTAGCATTGTTAAAGGGATTCTCATACATCGAAGGAGATTGTAATGGTGCCACATAATACATTGGAGTAAAATGCAATGTAATTCCTGGAGATTAAGGTTTATAATAGTTTGTGCCCTATAAATTTCACCGTTGTTTTGCAAGTGTGTGCGAGTCTTTATTGAGTTTGTATTTCGTGTATGTGTTAAAATGTGGCGACATCGGTTTTGGAAGTAATCGAGCGCTACTCGTAATTCATTTCTAGTGTCTCATTATTACGATTTCTGTGTTAGGTACCTTACATCCAAAAAAAGTCTCATTATCGTGGGTTAGAAAAAAACCTTACGTAAGCGAAGTTGTGGACCCTTAAGTTTTAGCAAATGTTTCTACAAAATTTAATATTAAAAAATGACATGGGTTTTCGTAAAAAAATATTCTAAAACAGATTGACTTTGATTTTGAATTTTGTCCCTTATAGTTTTTTACATTTTTATTTTTTTCATTTTATTTTATTAATAGTTTTTTACAAGCGTAAAACCTAAAGAAAGAACGGTATCATTAAAATTAAAAAAAATGGTTACACATACCTTAAATTCAAAGCAGTCCATCAGCACGGTGTACTCAAAGGGTCTATTATAATCGTGATAGGGGTCCACCATCTCAATGGTACTGCTACTGTCACCGTGCATGCCGATGATCTCGCAGCAGAGCTTCTTCATCTCGTTGCATGGTAGGGGAAGGTGACGAAGCACATCGTCGTCCCACCATTTGGTAAGTGATCTGGGAAGCGCATTCGAAAAGCTGTTGCCATTCAGAGTGTATGATAAAATTTCACGTTTCTTGATATTTCATGATTAATCCTGTTTGTTCTCAAATTAATATTTATATATGTAATATTTATATATGATAAGAGGGGCTCGTGGCTAAGTGGTTACCGAGTAGGTTAACACATTGAAAAGTTAAGCAGTGTTAAGTTAAGTTAAGTTATGGATGGGTGACCATTGTTAATATATTGAGACCCCTCCGTGCCTCGGAGAGCACGTTAAGCCGTCGGTCCCGGTTGCCTTACGAACATCTGTGGCAGTCGTTACGGGTAGTTGGCGCCTTAAAAAGTCCAACAACAGTATTTCTACAGAACTTCAATATGATTGCCATCAGACTAGTAACTCGTAGAGTAGTCGAGACGAGTAGTCTGATGGCAATCACTCCGCTTAAAAAATCGAAGTTCAGCCGTGTCGTAGTAGGCTTAAACCCGACTTTATAAATGTTATGCACAGTTCTACAATAGTCAAGACTCAAGTATTCCGGGAGGGAGAGTGAGGTTACTGGAATCAGTGGGAGGGGGTGAGTTTCCATTCTGTACATATTGATTATTCTATGATTGTGATTTTCGAACTGTACTATGAAATGTTCACCTATTTCTTGGAATATATACGATGGCTTCTGGATGATGTAAATAATAGTCACTTTGATACTCCCAAATGGCTGGCCTCGATTGATCAGGAACAAATAGACCCAGGAACAAATTCATGGTGTTCTGTTTCTCTGCATCAGAGAATGTGTTGGAGTAGTATCTACTTAATGTTTGCATGATGTCATTACCATGAGACGACCATGGAGCTGTTTTGCGATAAGTCTTTATTCTAAAAATAATAATAATAAATCGTTAATTATATTTAAAAAAAACACAAACTTCACTGTGACAGAATCATGATAAATTGTAATATTACTTGTTGTATTTTTAACCAATTTTCTATCCCTACATAACCTTGTGTTATAACCAATTACATTAAAAATAATTATCTAAAAAATCACTGTTAAGAATATAGTCAGGGTTTATAGCATTTCCAATAAAAAGACTAGAAGAGAACTATACAAACCTGTGGACTAATTGAGACCCGCCATATTGTAAAGCTAATGTATCTCCATGATCTTCGTACAATCCTTCAAGGAGTCTGGCACAGTCAGAATCGAATTCTATATTTGGTTCTCCAATGAGTCCTAAAGCATATAGCTGTAATAAAGCAAATATGTAATATTCATACCATAATAGTTTTTAGTATTTAATGTAGTACACTTCATTATAAAACTTACCTGGTGGGCCAATACATACTTGCCGATAGCAAACTGTGCGGTATTTGTTCTATCCAGGCAATCGACGCAGTTCACGCGTACAAGACCAGTTTGGAGACGACCACCCTGATGCCCTTCCACTCCCGTCTCCTCTCCGTAACCTCGCGAACTTAGAAATATACCAGTTCTGCGTACTGCTGTGCGAGCAATTGCAGATAATCTAGAATAGGATTAATTCATAGTTAAATTAAGTGGAAACTTCCAGGATTTTCAAGGCTCAATTTTCTTATGTTTACATAAAAATAATATTTGTTTGTCTGTATCGTTAATCTGATCACCACGAAGTTTTATGAACGGAAATGTGAAAAATGACAGAGAAAATTATCCGAAACATTGTAAAACTATTTCTCTGTCTGTGAAGCCGCGGGCAAAAATACAACTAGATTAATTTAATAAAAACGGGTGACTTTTAAAACGCATAGTGTGGTGTTTTCTTGTCGTGTGATAAGTCTCATATTTCGGAAGGAAGACACATTCAAGCACCTATATAGCATCGTATATCAACTCACGTACTACCTACTGAAGACACACCTGGTCGGGGTTTATTTACTCCACGTAGCGTATAAAAATACTAACTGTGACAGTCAGAACTCAAGTTCAAGAAGTTAATGTTGTAGAAGCTCTAACGCGTAACTTTAGACATTTCAGCGTATGTCCTAACGTGAAAGCCAAGGGTAACCCGTTACTGGGGGTAAATTCTAAACTGTAAACTCCTCTTGAAGATTCGACAGCAGATCATAGGCAAGATTTTAATGGAGTAGGCTGTTGGAAGCGAACAATTCCAACTACATGCAAAAGTTGTAGACCTTATTGCAAAGAATTACATGGCGTCCTTGTCCATCCAGGAACGATTAAAGTAAGTCCTTGAGCATATCTACCTAAGAACACTGAATGGTACTTTCTCAAGCAATTAATCGCAGTTTCAATCTTTCACTAAAAATATATAGATTTAATATGTACTTACTTGTCTAAAACTTTAGCATCTGATTCCTTATTCACTCTTGCCATGTCCATATGATAGTATAGGATAGCATGTTCAGGAGGTAGAAACTGATTTAAATATTTAATCGAATTGCTTATCACATCAGTTAAAAGAGATTCATGCTTCTTTTTTTCCTTCTTCTTTACTAAATTCAAAAAGATTAATGGAGATCCGTATCTTCTCATCATATTGTTTAGATGTTTGCCAGGTATTTCAGCAAATGGGTCACTGAGATCAATTGATATAGCTGGCTTGGGAACCATTTTGGACACATCCTGAGACCAGTAACTTGGTATTGAGCCTCGCATTTGTACAAATGAGCTAAATCTACAAAAAATGTATGTTATTAATGTTTTCGCCCATAGCACTAGTTGTCAGTTTACATTAGATTAAGTGGAAAAGGTAAAATGTATGTAAAGTGCTATATTGGTCTTACCTGCCTGCTGCAAATGACGATACCATGGAGTCATGTACAATTTGTTCCGTTTCCACCTCATTGGCAACATCGCCATGCATATTGGCTCCTCTCTTTAGGAATCTTGTTCCAGCATATCTATTGCTTCTTCTGGCAATAAGAGTAAGGTACACTGGACGACCAAATATATTCAGATTGCTTTGTTCGATAAACCCATGAACTATATATAGGATCCAATCGGGATGTAAGTGTGAATGTACGGCTGATAATAAGTGACTATTCCATACATATCGCCATTCTGGAACAGTGCGAACTCCAAAGTCCAATCTTTGAGGTTGATGTCTGTAATCGTAAAAAAACTTATACATATAAATATATTAATTTTAATTATCTTTACCCAAATTAGTTTCTTTTTTTAATAGAGGTAGCTGAATTATTCAGATTCACAGTATATTTGATCAATTAGAAATGTTTAGGCACGTAGATAGTCTCGATAGTAAAAATAGTGTTGGCCAGTTTCTTTTCATTGTTTAGTATTGCAACACTCCATCAAACATGACATTAAACAATTCATGTTAGGTTATTTAGAAGCAACTAATTATAATCATCATAATCAGCCTACTTAGCTTCAGTCTTATTTTTACAGATTTACCTACTCAGAACATCATGATATTCATATGCTTGACACATAACAAAAAATGGATGTTAATACCTAAAAATATGCAAATATACAATGAAGAAAATCATTATATTTTACCCAGTTTTCTTCCTCTGTTCCAGTTGACTCTTCCAAGTTTGAAATATATCTTCATCATCCTCAGCGTATTTGTGACATTCGCAATTCTCGTCCATCTCCTGATAAGAGTTTGACTTTAAATTGGAATGGTATACAGCAGCAGTTACAGGTTTAGGAAATAACGCTGGAGCAAGCTTCCTAGGAGGTGCCATGTTCATTTGTAATGTATGGGTGATATCATAACTATAACTATAATAAAAATTAGTAGATAGATCTATGGCGAGAAACATTTTTAAATATCTCTGTTCATCTGGGTGTTGAGGCTTGTTACCGTCTACTGGAATGTATATTGTTGCAGTGTCTTCTATTTTATAAATGCTATGCGACCCAATACCTGCTACTTTTCTTCTCTTCGTCACCAAGATAATGTAGTACCCTTCAAGGAATCTTATGAAACCTGGAAAGTCAGTAAACCTTTTAATAAGTTAGTCTAAATATAAAAAAGTGATATTCAAACTGATTTCAGATGCTTTCTGTTGCAAATGTTCTGTTTATTTATTACATTTATTTATTCCTAGTGCGGATATTGTATTTAAAAAAACAAATATTGAGTAAGATTTATTTAAGCAGAACAGTGTTTTTAATTTTTATTATGTTGGTATGATGATAATGCATATGATCTATGATGATGTACCTATAGTAGATTAATGTATTAGATTTAAGACAGTAAAATATTTACCAACAATACCGAACGCAGATACAAGTTTATTAAGCCCTGAATTTCTGCCATTCCGGTTGCCAAAGCCAATCATATTAAGCAACTGATGTATTTCTTGTTTGTTATATTCCACTTTGTCATCAACTAATATTAGCTCTCTTGGATCTGTTCTATCAATTTTAAGAACACGGAATCTGGTTTCAGTGTTGTTTGAGCCAATTAAGTAAAACCTCTGTAAGTATATTTGAGTTTTAGTTTTTTGTTATAAATTTATTTGGTAAAGTGGATATAAGTCACATGAATAAGATAATGAGCATAAGTTTTAGCAGTCTGGAAATCTTGGTCAAGTGCTAGGAACCTGTTTTGCACATACTGCTTTTGGATCTCTGCTGTTATTCAGAGTGCACAGTATGGCATGATTTTAGTCCCATCTATGCCTTTTTGACTTAAATTATCTTTTATCTATTATTATACAAATATTGGTAACGATAAATTTATTGTACAATGAATTGAAGATTGATATTGATAAGTAATTATTACTCACCGCTTTTGTTTCATAGAGTGCTATTCGCTGTATGGAACTTATGATTGGATGAAACATAATACTTCGTTTCGACATTTTGGTAGGTAATTTATAATATGTAACGTAATCCACAAAAAATCTTACTACAACAGTAACAACAGTTTGTTCTACTTTATACACATTATAAATCAACTGTTACTCTCATTAGGTGGTTTCTGCAATGTTACTGTTTAAAGAATAATAACAAAAACTCAAGTACATAAATAATACACAAAAACAACACCTGTACTATACTATTGATTGTTGTTCAGCTGTGAAACGTCATTAAAGTCAACTTCAACTTTTGATCATGGTAACATGTGAAAGGCAAACTGTCAAAGAATTTTATGTAGCGCGTTGGCAGAACTAAAAAAAAATTGAGAATGAAATACTGGCCAAAAAAATATTGATAATTTGTTGACTTTTACAGTCATAATAAAACTTGAATAGACTATGGACTATAGAAGTACTATGAAAAATTAAAAAATTAATAAAATAAAATTTATTTGCAAAATCAGAATAAAATCTAGGTTGCATTTTGTATCTGATTTACATCTTATTGTCATTCGATTCTTGTATAAAGTTTGTTACTAAAGCTAACATAAAACTAGTATATGACTATTCTAAAATGTGCAAGATTGAATATAATGAGGTGAAAACACAATATAAAAAAAAAAACTTTTGCAAACGTCCTGAGCTAGGTGTGAGACCTGTGTTTCAGGCAGTCGCTTGACTATGTTAGTTACAGGACGTTCATATGTAAAAGTTCTAATAGATAGATAATTTAAATTACTTCAGACTGGTTTGTATACACAAATTTATATTACTTATTGTTTGATAACCTAATTATAGTTTCAATTTCATCATTTTAAAATTGCTAAGATGTTTTCTGTGTCTGCGTAGTTAAGCTTACCTAAATATTCTCCTACTAGAGTTTGACACTTTGTATACGATACGGCATATATTTTAAAAACTTTGTTTATCTTATTATATAGATATGGTGCTAAGAAGGGATAAAAATTGTTAATATATTTGTTACTATATTATTTAAAATATATATATGTTAATAATATATTGTTAAAACACCAAAAAATAAAATATGAAAGCAGCGTAAGTTGTCTACGGACCCTCGCGGCGCCGGTCGGAACGAAGTTCCTTTCGCTTTTTGGTAGACATTTACTTTAGTGTCGGAAAAAAAGTCTTGTTACACATTTTTCGGTCTAACTCCCATCCGCTCAGGTACTTCGTTCCAAAAAAATCATAAATAAATATTACACTATAATATAACACTTGCCTAGTATGTGTATCTACAGAAGGAGTACCTACGTATACTTAATGATGGGATTTTATAGACTCATCATCATCTTCATCAGTCTATCGCAGTCCACTGCTGGACATAGGCCTCTCCCATTGCACGCCACTTAGATCGATTTTGGGCTTCTCGCATCCAGTTCCTGCCACCCATCTTGCGCAAGTTGTCACTCCATCTGGCCTGTGGGTGTCCTACACTACGTTTGCCGGGACGCGGTCTCCACTCAAGAACTCGTTTTCCCCAACGGTTGTCGGTTCTGCGGCTAATATGGCTGGAGAAACGCCGAGCATAGCCCTTTCCATAGCACGTTGAGCGACTTTTAACTGGTGGACCAGCCGTACCGTAAGTGTTCATGTTTCGGCTCCGTATGTCATGACGGGTAGGACGTACTCATTGAAGACATTCGTCTTAAGACACTGTGGGATCGACGATGTGAAGACTCGACGTAGATTCGCGCTTCACACACGCAACTGAATTCTTCTGTTCACCTCGTCCTCGAAGTTGTTTCTACCTAACTGCAATGTCTGTCCGAGGTACACATCATTTTGATAATCTTTGAGAACGTCACCGTGTACCGTGTATCGGATCCGGTAGTACATGTTCGTTGAACATGACCTTGGTTTTATCCAAGTTCATCCGTAGGCCGATGCGTACAGAAGAGTCAGCTAGGTCCTTCATCATCTGCTGTAGGTCCTGCAACGTCTCTGCCATGATGACGATGTCATCTGCAAATCGTAAGTGAGAGATGTATTCGCCATTGATATTGATGCAACGCCCTTTCAAGTGCAGGGTCTTGAACATGTCCTCCATTTCATTTGTGAACAATTTCGGGGAAATAACGTCCCCTTGTCTCACTCCTCGATGCAATGGTATGGGCCTTGTCTGCTGATTCTGTACTTGGACGGACATGGTGGCGTCTTCGTAGAGACATTGCATCACTTGGATGTATCGCCAATCTACTTGGCAACGCTGTAGGGACTCCAGAACAGACCAGATCTCGATCGATTTTATTCTTCGGTCTTCTGTATAATTTGCGGCACTGTGTGAATGTGGTCATTGGTGCCATATCCTCTCCAAAACCCAGCTTGTTTCGGTGGTTGGAATTCGTCGAGTCTTTGCGCAAGACGGTTCGTGATGACTCTCGAAAACAGCTTGTAGACGTAGCTTAGAAGGGATATGGGTCGATAGTTATTCATCATGGTCTTGTCACCCTTTTTGAAGAACAAGACGACCACACTACTACTCCACACTTCCGGATTTATCCCTTCAAATAGGACAGCGTTTGAAGAGCTTTTGGAGCTCCCTTAGTACGGGTTTACCCCCGGCCTTTAGCAACTCTGTTGTAACGCCATCCTCTCCAGGGGCTTTTCCATTTTTCAGCTGTCCAAGAGCCATCTCGATTTCGTCAATGCTTACTTCTGGCAGGTCTTCGGTGTATTAATGTGGCTCTAGAGTCCTTATTTTCTGGATCAGGTCGAGATGCATGCGAAGCGTATAACCGGCCATAGCAGCTTTCCACTTCCAAAAAGACTACCAACTTCGAAGCAACGACTTCTATACTTTCTGTGGTCAACTTTGTCTGGTGGCTTCTTCCAAGAGATTGTACGAACACTTTTGACCCCCGATTCTGCTCGATCGCTCTTTCAATTGAAAGAGTATTAGAGCACCGGAGGTCGTGTCGTACGAGTTAACTGATCTCTCGGTTTAGAGTCCGTTTTAGACTCCTAGACCTGTGAAAAATACCAATTGGAGAATCGTTCGCTTTTTGTTGAAAATGACCAATTAACTTTTTGAGGCCGATAAAGAAAGACCATTTCGATATGCTACTTGGACAATAAATTGACCGCATTTGACAAATGAAATTTATTGGAAAGATACAATATTAGATCATCAGATTATTGGAGAATTTGAGCTTGACAGCTCTAAGTCATATGTATAAAGGCTGTATAAGAGAGGGCTTGAGGTAAATTCTTCGCTATCATCCTGGGTGATAGAGAGTAGTCCCCACTTTTGATTGTGATGGATGTTTCAAAAAAAAAAAACTACAAATGAAACGGTTTGGTTTCTGCAAATCTTTGTTATTGAGTCGTCCAGAGCCCCACGATGAGTGGTGAGCATTCAAGTCACCCATTAAAATAATTGGTGATGGAATCAAGAAGATTAATGACAAAACATCAGGGAATAAACTAGAGTGAGGATGAGTGATGTAGTCAGAGAGAAAAGTGATGTTAAGAGTCTTTACGGCAATAATATTGATATTTGGGGATATGGGAGGGAGAGGGAATAAATAAAGCGAAAGACAAAGAGTACAGTACACAACCTGTAACAAGTAGTAGCGACTTTTGAGAATAGAAAAATCGACTATCGGCTAAAAGTGGCTGTCGGAGTCTAAGTGTTGTCATGAGAGTTGTTGACAGACACTTCAATTTTATTTATTTGTATGGATAAAAATGTATTTTGTTAGTCCTTCTGCAAATATCACGGTAGAAATCTGTAAGTAAATCATCTAATAGCAGCGTAGATTCCGTAGTGATCTAAAAAAGGAAATTAGTCAGGAATAGAAGACTCAAAAATGGAACATGAATTGAATTAGGTATTATTACGTTGTGCGTTACCTCATCATTGATAAAACGCTAGACGAATTATGAAACAGTAGGTAATTAAAAGTTAATATTCAAACTTGAGAACTGGCCCACTTTTTATTATTGTTGTTTGTATACATTTTTAGATACAACGTGCTGCTTAATCTATTCTATATTAACGATTGAGGACAACACAATAACATAAGTACATTTAGATGTACAAACATTAATTATCTCTACAAATAAATAAAATTAAAGAGTCTGTTTGTAATGTCAAAATTATAGGTTTTTTCATGCTCACATGGTTATTTGCACGATACCTATGTCTAACACCAGTTTTTTTTTGTCTGTCTGTATATCTGTTAGTTCCGGGTAATCTTCCAAACGGCTAGACCGATTTCGATAATATTTGACTACCAGGTAGCTGTCTATATAAGGAATAACTTAGGCTATTTTTTCCTCTCAGAAAAACCCTTTAAAATTTTGCCTGGGCATCGAACCCATTGAGGCACCGCTTTTTAAATTCCACGTGAACGAAGTCGCGGGTACCAGCTAGTTAGTTATTAAAACTGTTACAAAAGTTGTGTAAATGACCGTATGTACGTACATACGTATCGTTTAACTGGATTTGGAACACGGGCACAGCTTGCTGGAATAACATAAGTTCCCAAAGTCGCCGTTGGTCGTCTGATGGGTCAATGTATTCGCCGGCAAATTAGAACGTTGGAAAGTCATGTCTATCATTCAGATTATTGTCGCTAGATGGTGTTAAGTGTTTATTCATTCCGCATTGCATACAAAAGTTATAGAAATGTTCGCAGGTAAACTGCTAAGCTACCTTTTCCAAAAATTCTTTATTATAACAATCCAACACGATTGAGTACAGTCACACGCACATGAATTCATGAACAGGTATAAAAAATTTTGCTTGCCACTGCTTCAGACTTAGTATATTCTATAAGCGTGTTTGAATATTTCATGTATCGTTAAAGGTGACGTAGGCGAATATTACAATTAAGACTTCAGAGCATGGTTGTTGCGAATATCAGTCAACAATTGATGCTGAAAATCAAATCGTCGAAGGCGGGACCTAGCGCCTGTCACGTAGAGTTTTAACCAATCATAAACAGTTGTACAAAAAAACATATATATTGTTTTGTCAACATAAATTGATTGGACGTTAGTGATATATTGTGTGACGTGCATGCATAATGCGTGTAATAATCCATACCTACTTTTAGCATAAACCGCCCGCGTGTATGTCGGTTATCGCGGTAAAGTAAATAGCAAAACATAGTATGTACCAGGGGCAATGGCCTTGCACGTAGCATTTATTAAAAGAAAAAAAAACTATTGTTTATTGTGGGCGGATAACAGGCTTTCATTTATATTGGAATCTAATTAATGGTAAGTTATATTTAAAAAACAGATATGACAGTAGCCTATGAGGCAGTGCAGATAAGTCTTTACTAAGTAGTGGTTTATGGATTACTTATTTTATTTCTAACTGGCTTTTGCCCGTGATTTAGGTGTGCAAGGGTAACAAACGAACACACTCACTTTCAAAAGTATTATAACTAGCTTTTGCCTTTGCTATTTCTCTTATCCCAGTAGAAGTAGCCTATGTTACTTGCTGATATGATAATGTAGCTTTCCGTTGGTACAAGGATTTTTAAAATCAGTTTAGTGGATTAGGCGTGAAAGCGTAACAAACAAATAAACTCACTTTCACATTAATAAGTATGTAACTATGGAAGTATGGATTATTGTCATGTTATATACTTTTACACTTCACCCAATACAGGGGCTTGGTGTACTATCAATACATGACACACCTACCTATGTATTGCTTTGTAATATAGGTACTATTAGCACTGCGTGAGTTTCAAGTTAGCGGAATTATGTAAACTCCAAAAATGTTTCAAATAAAATAGGTGGATAAGGTAATCTTGACGTAAGCTTATTAAGAATCAAATTTGCTGCCGACGACCGGAGTTGGATTACCAAATCCAACTTCAGTCCCCGTTTACAATATTTATAGCGCCGCGCCGTAGAGGTGCAGTTCACGGCTTTTATAATTACTTTTTTTTTTAAATAATGAGCACATAAAAAAAACATTATTGTTGTACAGCAAGATCTGCGCAATGAGCGAAATTAATGAGGATATTGTGACCGCAATTTTCATAGGCTAGAGGTTCTTCCCGCTTACCTACTTCTGTTACGTCTATGAGAGAACTTATACACTTTTAAATACTTACTTAACATACTTGTTATAAATATAACCGTAATCAAAGGCTGTAATATCTTAATAAATTTATCTACTAGACGCTTTAATTGAGTTATAATTATGTGCATAATATAGCTAAGTATGTATTGAAAAAGTTTAGTGATACATATTATTAAGTAACTGATGTATATAGCTATTTATGATCGAATGATATTAATTATTATTTGGTATTTGAATCAAAATACCAAAATCGATCTAAGTGGCGTGCAATGGGAGAGGCCTATGTCCAGCAGTGGACTGCGATAGGCTATTGATTCAAATCATTATCATCATCATGATGATGATGATGATGATTTGAATCAATATCTAAGAAACGATTACAATCCAGGTGATTACAGATTACATTATATTTAAGTATAATGTTACGCTGTAGAATAAACTAAGTTTTGTCAGAAGATATACTGTGTATATACATTCAGCTACGAGAATCATACATGTGCATAATAATATGTAACGAGACATATTGTTACGTCAAGGTGCCACTCCCCAGCTTACCCATTTATTTCTGTGATATTGGAACTGGGTCAAAGCTGGGCTCAGCTTGCGTCTGTCCCGTTTTCTAGATGGAGTGGATGGATGGGCTGTAGATGGAGTGCCAGGACTGCATGGATCATTCATTGTGTAAGTCCATGTGTGTAAATGAGGCTTCGAGCTTCGAGCCTTCAGAACAGTGGCAGGCGGGAACTGAGAGGCGCGCTTGCGCGTGGGGGCGCTGTCGTCGCGCTCGAGGCAGTCCCGTGCGCGTCTTCGTGGCCGCAGTACCTGTGCGCGTGTGCAAGCATCGCCTGACGAACTCCCGATCACCGAACTCTATGAACTAACAATGATTTCGCACATTATCGCACTCGTTGCTGTGTTATAATAATAGTTTAAGTGATAAGGTTAACGCGAGTGAGCGTTGGGCTGCCGGCGACCGGTCCAGATAGGGAAGCTGCGGTGGCCTCACGCCCGACTACAGTGGAATGCGGCAATTTTAACTACTGCGGACCCCAGGGACCCACATCAGAATAGGGACCGAACGATTACAGACCGTGTTATAAGGTAAGATAGCTTTTTGTTTTTTTCCTTTTTTTTTAAGAAGTTTAAACGATTTGGGTTTATTGCCTTGTACTCACTAAAACAATATCTAGGTATAGCAAATAGGTGGTTGTGTTTTCAGTTTACATATTAAATCAAGCTCTACATTGAAAAATCTGACTTAAAGGTAGGTTCCTAAAAAAAAAATTGCATCTATTGAGTACTTGTTCCTATATTCTCTTACAAAACCTGTTTTGAACCATGAATTTTTGGTAATGGCTATAGCAAGTAACTGAATATTGTTATTCAATTGCAGTTTAAATATATGTCGTTAGTAATATTATATCTAACCACTTATATGTTACTTACCATACGTAACGGTAAAATAATTTAAACATTACCTTATTAAAAAAACTTTGTTTAGCATCGCTGTTACAAAATTTACTTTACAAAATAAAGTACACTTAGTCTACATGTATTGCGTAGGAGGAATTATGCTAGGTACATCCGAAGTGTTGTAGGTATTGAAACTGTGTTTGCAAACTGTGAGAAATCAGTTAGGTATTCTAGCCAACGCCCCGCAACTAATATCAAAAGCAAAGGTGAATTTTCCACACGACTTCGTTGATTTGGAACTAAGTTATTTCTCCATTTAAAGCTGTAATAAGTAATAAGTGTATCGCCAAGAAATGAGATAGAATACGAACGATATGAAAGATTCCTGAAAACCATTCTTAAATTTAAACCATAAAATAGCAGATAAATAAAATAAAAAAACTTTTAACAGCGTCAATGTCCTATTCTAGTACGTTTCAAAACGATGCTACGTATATAATAAATCACTCCACGATTAACATTTATTAACAAATCTTTATTCACTGATCAATGGCAGCTCTTTCAATGGCGTGCCAACGTTCTACAGTTGCAAAAGCATTGTGATGTCAGAGCAGGTATACGATGGATTAAGTAAGATAACCGTAGATCGCTTTCTTTTTGACCGGCAAACACTCTACTGGGTATATCTACTAAGTTTCGCTCTCAATTTCTCACGGTAAATGCGATTGCCTTTTAAGAAAAATGCGTAACGACCATAATTACCTCTTTCGATTGAAGACACCTACTTTTTTTCTGGACGAATGATACCCCACGTGATAATGGAAAAAATAGTTTTATGTATTTTCGTCTTCTAAAATATATTATCTACTAGCTGAGACCCGTGGTGTTACCCGCGTTTGTTGTTATAACCGCGGGCAACGCCGCGGGGCGAAGCTAGTCTAAAAAAAGTAGCCTAAGTTACTCCTTATGTCATCAGCTATCTGCCAGTGAAAGTCCCGTCGAAATCGGTCCAGCCGTTCCAGAGATTACCCGGAACAAACAGACAGACAGACAAAAATTGTAAAAAATGTTATTTTGGTATATGTAACGTGTAAACATACATATGCATTTAGTAAAAAGCGGTTATTTTAATATTACAAACAGACACTCCAATTTTATTTATTTGTATAGATAGGTACAACAAACAACCATATTTGTAATAATTTATAACTAGTATATATTGTTCGTTATTATATCTTACTAAAGTTCGCCTCGCGGTCATATTTCTATCGTTTTATATGTCTAACTAGTATAACTTTAATTGTCATTGTTTAGACCCTTAATGTTTTATTCTTATTGCCGTTTGCCATAACATTTACCTTTATAGCATAAATAGCGTAAATCATAATACACAATCTGCACTTCTAAACTTACCTATAAAATAAACATTGAATGTTCTTAAATGAAGTTTTTATGATTTTATGTCCCACATTTGTTTTAAAATAGATAATACAAAATTAACAATAGTAGGTACTAGGTTATGCATACATTTTAAACTAAATATGGAAACGATGATACCTACGATATGATTTTTTATCTGATGAGTAGGTAGAACAGTTTAAGTACAGAGCTAAGGACATTACGAAATTTAGAATAAACAATTTAATGTTATTAAAACACATAATCTCGATATTAATTTAGAATGTAGAGGCTTAGGCGGCTACAGCGAATAAATTAATCCAAATTGTAATATAGAAATACTGAACCACACCGTGGGTGTTTATTAACCTGGTTAATCCGGTTGAAAAGTTGAATTGGGGTTAAAAATAATTAGTAGATAGATTATTATTATTGTCCCGTGTTAGTTCATACACTTTTCTTTTACCACCTCCGAAATCCTGACCTAACCTAGGTATTATTTCAATTAACTTTAGTCATCTAGACGTTAATATTAAAATGGAATTTTGTTACCGTTAGATGATTGTGTAGTCACAGATTCAGTATTTAAAAAAAAACATTTCAAATACAGTTAGTTATTTATATTACGAAAAATGTATTCTAAACCATTAGTCAATAAATGTATCTATTAAATATACAAACGTGCGAGAATAGATAAGTCTTATAACTACGTAATAATTAAAAATGGAATACCTATGATACTAGCGTTTCACATGTTTTAGTAACTTTAATTTCTTGTACTAATCTAGTTGTTTCCTAAAATAATAAAGATAAGAAGTTTTTTGCCGGTTTGGTTGTTTAATTGCGCTAATTTTTGCAACTCTCGGTCAGATATGAATAATTGTTTTATTTTAGATCTCTACAGGTATATCGCTACTTAGATATATTTTTATGTACCTACTTACAAAAATTAGACGTTAGACGTTTAACGTAATATTAACTTCTGGTATATTTGTTATATTTATAAAACACTAGCTTATGCCCGCATCACCACCTGCGTGTATGTCGGTTATCGCGGAAAAGGTAGCCCATGTTACTCGCTGATAATGTAGATTCCATTGGTAAAAGATTGTTAAAATAAGTTTTGAGGTTTAGGCATAAAAGCGTAACAAACAAACAATCAAACAAAGAAACTCCCTTACACATTTATAATATAAAAGTATGGAAGTATGGGTTGAGAAAGGTCATCAAATATTTTATAATAGGTATATTTTTCATATCACGGTATGATCACATGTGTTCAATGATTGCCAAACATCATCATCAACAGCCTTTAACAGCCCACTGCTGCTCTCCTTAGAGAGGAGGTTTTGGTCTACTATTCCACGCTGGCCAGACGGGTTGGTAAAGGGTTTGTGTCAAGTTTTCCTTCTCTTTGTTGTCCTGCGTAGTTTGCTCCCTTAGTCGGTTCGTACGACATCCACGGTATGAACAGGAAATACCTACCTTTATGATGCCAAACATAAAGGTAGATATTTGACAATGACTGAACACTGTGATTAGAAATGCTCTTGACCCTATGATCGACACAACACGTAGATGTATCCTCATTCAATAAATTCAACAAAATATACATAAATGAGACTTCCGTGAGTAATATTTATAAGATTACATATTACTATAACAGGTGTACGTTTATGTCAGTTTTACGCATGTGTGTCTTACGGGATGCTGATAATCTAACCAGTTTTGGTCCAACAGGGAATCTTTATAATACACATCACATGTCGTTTTACCTTTTGATCGGGCATCTTCGAATGTATTTAATTACTTACGTATGTTAATACGTAAGTAATTAAATACAATTTCTGTTCTTTCTAAATAATAGTAACTCATTTTAGGTATTATATTGCCAAAAAAATATCAACCTCAGCTAAGTTTCTCTATATCCACTTTAAAACCTATCAAAAAGCAATGAAGGTTAGAAAGGTACGTGAAAACCATCACCGCCTCTAATGTTCTGTCCCTCTTAAAGATGACATGCAAATAGCATGAAAGAACACGGACGGATCTGCTAATGGGTTTTTAGGGTTGCAGTTCAGCGCCCAGTGGTATAAGTGATAATAAAAACATGAAAATATACATCGTAGTTTCCACTCCGGAAGCAAACATAGTTGTACGTATGTACGTTGACAATGAATATATGCGTTGGTAGATTTTGCAACAACTTCTAGCATTTTAGTGTGTTTTCGTTATATTGCCGAATGAGAATATGTATCACTATCTCTTGTTTTACCTAAGGTAGGGTATTTGCATATTTCCATTTAGATAATATCATCGTCGTAATATTATCATCATCAACAGCCACTGCTGGACATAGGCTTCGCCTTAGAAAGGAGGTTTTTAATACCTGCTTATAAATAAAAGTAATCAGGATAAAATGCTTGCTATAAGTATACAATAACAATAGCTACTATCTATACAATCTTGGACCTCCGTTTTAAATCTGGTAAACGAAGACAAAGAGGGAGAGCACGGCTTGTTGTTAGTGTGTAATTTTTATATTTTTACCGTACTGTCCATTCCAATCCGGAATGGAAATAAGTACTTTAACTCAGCCGTCATCATTAGCAACTCTTTGTTGATTTTATTTTCTATTACTATAATAATTTGTTTTTTTATTTTGCTATTAGCGAATTAGCTTAATAATGAGTTGATTGGATTTAAAATAAAAATAAGTTCGCACATCATTTTTTCTTTCTGATATTAATTAGACTAATATTCTGATATTATTGCGTAAAGACGGATATATAACTAGTTTTGTAGTAAATTAAAACCAATTAGTGAACCTATATAGGTCATCTACATTAATATCATAAAGCTCAAAAGTTTTGTTTGTTTCTTTGGTTCAACGCGCTAATCCCAGAAACTACGGGTTGGAATTGAAAAATTATTTCAGTGTTGGATAGCTTATTTATCGAGGAAATACATAGGTTATATAACATCACGCTCACGCATCACGACCAATATCAATGAAAAATGTTACAAAATACAGAAGAATTTATATAGATGTTTTAATTTGTCTTTAACC